CCCACCCTGCGCCTCCTCTCCTCTTCTCCTCGGGTCCCTGCGAGTGGGGGGTGGGGGTTGATGCTTGTGGTGACTTTGCTCTAGGCTTGTTTCCTTTCACAGAGGATTAGTTGGTTACAAGTTAACTTCGGGCATATTTCTGTTTAGATTTACTCGTTTTTTAATTAATTTATTTTTTTGTTTTATGAGTTAGTTTTTAGTTTTATAGTTATTTAATGGCATAGCTTTAAAGTCACCTGTTGATAATGATTTTATTTTGAAGTTTCGTTTTTTAGTTACTCATTTTCAGTTACTTATAGTTATTTCGTTTTAAGAATTATATTTCCAAATTAGTTATTTGACAAATTTTTTTAAATATATTTTATTGATATTTTTTTACAGAGAGGAAGGGAGAGGGATAGAGAGTTAGAAACATCAATGAGAGAGAAACATCTGTTCAGTTGCTTCCTGCACACCCCATACTGGGGATGTGCCCGCAACCAAGGTACATGCCCTTGACTGGAATCGAACCCCGGGCCCCCTCAGTCCGCAGGCGGATGCTCTATCCACTGAGCCAAACCGGTTAGGGATTGACATATTTTTTAGAGTAAAATGTTTTTAGTTATTTTAGGGTTTCCTCCTAGTTATTTAGTTTTAAAGTGACTTACGTTCACAGTTGTTTAGTTATTTGGGGTTCTGGGCTTTTTATTTTTACATTTTTGTCATTTAGATTTTTTTTAGTTATTTTGTTTTAAAGTATTTCATTTTCTTGGTTATTTCTTTTCAGCTATGTCTTTGCCATTTTAATTTTTTTCTGTTCTGTATTTTTACTCATTTATTTTCAGAATTATTTACTCTAGAATTTGTCAGTCAGGATCCAATCAACAGAGAGACACCATAGCAGTTCTTTTAAGAGAGAATTTAATATAAAGAATCATTATTCAACTGGTAGCGATTTTTAAGAGAAAAACAACAGTGATAATGAGATGTTATGGAGATCCTAACTTCAAGAAGCAGCTCTCCCCACAAGGGCTGAGGGAACAAAGGGAAGAATGGGAGGTGGCCCCGGGGCTGGGGTTCCCCTCTGAGGACAAGGCACTGCCCGATGGGACAGTTGTCCCAGGAGCTGGGTGCAGAGGAGGGCTGCTCGGGCTGGCGCTGCTGCCTCTGAAGGGCTGCGATGAGGCTGGTGTGGAGGTGTTGGGGGAAGGCAGACCGCAGCTGCGGAACCACCAGGGCTCTCAGGGTAAAGACCAGTTGCCAGGGGATGCCAATGGGAACCCAGGCACCCGGGAAGGAGCGTGTCCCCCTCTCCTCCTCTAGCCTCTGATCCGTCTGCCCTGGGGCTGAACCGTTTGGGGAGTAGCTAGCTGGTGAAGGAGACATGGGGAGTGGCCCAGTGCCACAGAGCAGAGAACAGAAGCGTAGGCCCGAAGCTAAGAAATCACAGCTAACACCCAGCACGCCGGGCTCTGGAGTTATTTAGTTTTCGTTTTGGATTTAGTTGGTTTTGGAATCGTTAGGGTGATCTGATTTTAACTTTTCGCTGGACATGAGGTTTGGCCAAGTCTCCAGCCCCTTGGTTTGTTTCTGGAATGGAGTGGGTAACAAGTACGGGGAGAAGCGTTTCTTGTGAGGCTCAAGAAAATCACTTCAGATTTAAGAAAAACAAAAATAAGTGACTCGCTTTGCTCATAAAAAAAGCCCTTTGACTGTGTGGCCAGCACAGGGCAGATGCTAAGGGACAGGCTACTCAAGGAGGGGCTGGGGGCACCATAGGCCTGGACACACGGCTCACTCAGGAAATAGACTTCTTAAAGGCGGGGGAGGGGGCTCCTCTGTGAATGAAGTTTGTGTCATCTTTCCATTTCAATAAATGGAAAAGAATCCAAACCCATCCGATAGAATCCTCCAGCCTCTTTACACAACTTGTTCAAACCATCCGTGGCTTTACAATGTTGCCTGTTGCCCACTAGAGGGACCCAGAGTTCAACATGTCGCTGAGGCATGGCAATGCCCTCACCCCAAATGCAAGGGCCTTGGCTGAAGCAGTTGCGCTAAAAGTGGCCGTGGATCTGTGAAATCCGGCCTGAGTCTGAGTCCACACTAAACACCAGCCATGCATTAGGACATAAATAGAAACAGAGATCCTCTAAACCAGCATTTCTAGAATATATTTTGTAGAATAGGCAGAAGAGTGTAAGAGTTTAACAACAAAATTATCCTATACTAGAGGCATGCTGCATGAAATGTATGCACAGGGCAGGGGCAGGGGGTTCCCTCAGCCTGACCTGCACTCTCTCCAATCTGGGAGCCCTCAGGGGATGTCCAACTGGCAGCTGGACATCTCTCTCGCAATCTGGGACCTCTGGCTCCTGACCACTCACCTGCCTATCTGCCCTAACCACTCTGCCTGCCTGCCTGATCCCCCTAACTACCCTCCCCTGCCAACCTGGTCATCCCTATTAACTTTTTTTTATCTTATCCCCTTCACACACAATTGTATTTGACTTCCTTATTGGCTTCTCCCTCTCACACAATTTTTCTCTCTCCTTTATGTAACACCTTTTACTGCTGACTCATCATTTATAAACTTTTCTTTCCTCCTTATTTCCTACTTCTGTTCCATCATCCTTCTTCCCATCTTTCTCCCTCCCTCCCTCCCTCCCCTCCCCACATTCCTTCTTTCCCACCTTAATTTTTGTCTTCACTTCCTCCCTCAGACCTGCTTTGCTCCCTCTCCCGTTTCTTCCTTCTTCCTGTTCTCCTTTTAAGCTCTACTGACTCCCCTTTAAAACTTTTCTTCCCTCCCTCTTTCTCTCTCATCCTACCTTTCCCATACATTCTTCTTTACTTACTCCCACTGTTTTCATATTTATCTACCTGCCTAATTATTCACTACCATTTATCTTTTTTCTTTTCTGACTCCTACTTTTAAAATCTGTCCCCAGTACACAACTATACTTGATTTTCATTATAGCTCCTACAGTTCACGCATACATCCTCTTTCCTTCTTTAATGCTGCTCTCTACTGACTCCTTTATAAAGTTCTTCCCTCCCTCCCTCCCTTCTTAAAGTGAAGCAAGAGCACCTCCACCCAGAAGGCCTCAGAACGTCCACCACTCCATCCCAGACCCATGGGCGCCTCCCCGCCAATGGCCCACACCAGGGGCCACCACCCTCCTCCCACCCCTCGCCGGGCACACCTGCCACCCCTCCTGCGTGCAGCCCTGCGTTTCCTTCCCTTTTCCATTCCTGTGTCTTTTTCTTGTTCCCTTTCTGTATTTCTGTTTCTCCTCTTGGCCTGCCTTCCTCTCCCTCTCCTTTGTTATCCCCTCCTATTGATCGTATCCTATCCCACCCCAGGCCTCTGCAGCTGCCTGAGCAGAGGGTGGGAATGCAGCCTGCTGATCCGGTCATGATGTGATGCTGTAACAGATAATTTGCATATTTCTCTATTATTAGTAGAGATAATAAAAGGGTAATATGCAAATAGAACGAATGGCAGAACAACTAATCAAAGTGTAATATGCTAATGATATGCTAAGGCTGCTCAACTGCTCACTATGACATGCACTGACCACCAGGGGGCAGTCAACTGGTCAACCAGTTGCTATGAGGTGCACTGACCACCAGGGGGCAGATGTTCTGACCTGAAGGCTAGCTTGCTGCTGGGGTCTGGCTGATTGGGACGGAGTGAAATGGGCCAGACATGCCCTAGAGCCCTCCTGCAGTCCCTCCCTGGCCCGATCATGCATGGGTGGGGTCCCTCAGCCTGGCCTGTGCCCTCTGCACATCTGGGACCCCCCAGGGGATGTTGGAGAGCTGGTTTCAGCCCGATTCCTGCAGGCCACTCCCCTTGGGAGGACGCCAGACACAGGGCTCATGGCTGGTGAGTGCTGCTGCAGCAGCGTTAGCCTCTCCCTATCGAGACTGATTGGGCGCAAGCCCGCAGCAGGCACAGTGGGGCAGGGATGAGTGGGAGCCGCAGGTAGGAGCTGCAGGCAGTGCTGGACTGAGATTTGGGCCCGATCCCTACAGGCCACCAGAGGGACCCCACCCATGCATGAATTCGTGCACCAGGCCTCTAGTCTAATAATAAATGCATTTTTAAAACATGACATATTCTAGTCCTCTCTTAGTTGGTTCCAACTAGATTAAAGGATCTGAGAACTCTTGCAGAAAGGAACTGTGTATACTTTTGTTAAACTCATCATCTCCCAAGCTTATTTGAACCCTTTTCTTTGTGGACTATAATATCTCATGTGTATTGGTAAAGGGAAAGGTTAAGCTGTTGTAACAAAAGATCAAGCAATATAGTGACCGAAAGAATATCCTTCCTCATGAGACAGCCCTGGTTGGGTATGCAGGCTGCGTGGCCCAACACAGTCATCTGATGTCCCAGGCTCCTTCCTTCTGGTTTTCCCACCGTTCCCTAGAACTGTGGTCGGCAAACTGCGGCTTGCGAGCCACATGCGGCTCTTTGGCCCCTTGAGTGTGGCTCTTCCTAAGCCTTAGGAGTACCCTAATGAAGTTAAAAACAATGTACCTACCTATATAGTTTAAGTTTAAAACATTTGGCTCTCAAAAGAAATTTCAGTCGTTGTACTGTTGATGTTTGGCTCTGTTGACTAATGAATTTGCCGACCACTGCCCTAGAACATTGTCCTTGGCTGCAGAGTGAAAAGCAAGTCTGAGTGTCCGACTTCCACTCGCAGGAAGGGGGGAGAACTTGGCAGATGGCCTGTGCAATGTTGGAAGGCCCACCCTCCGCGAACGGCACACACCTTCTATTCCTTTAGTGAAAGCCTTGTTGCATGGTCACAACAGCTACAAGAGGGGCCGGGAGTGTAGCTAAGAGGACATTGCCTACCTGGGATTCTATTACCATGTGTCAGTGTCACTCAGCCAGGCTGCAGCAGAGCAGGGGCTAGGATCCAGGTCTCCCAACTCCTACCCAGGATGCCAGTTACCACATTAGCATTGCTTGCTCCTTCATCATGTATGAAGTGCCTCTTGAGTTCAAGTTTATTGTCAGATGAGGATAGGACGCTTTATAAAACACAATTTCACCGATTCTCTATAAAATATCAATTGCATCTTTAATCTGCTAGCAGTTTTTATTTACGGATACATTTTTGAATATGGCTATTAAAGTAGCAAAAACTATAGGTTTATATCATAATATTTCAATTTGCCAGAGAACACATACAGCAGGTCCTCAAACAATGTTTCATTCAATGTGGTTTCACAGATGATATTAAAAAAAAAATCGATTCCTGCCCAGGGGCCACTGTTTGCATGGAGTTTGCGCGTTCTCCCATGTCTGCGTGGGTTTTCTCTAGGTACTCTGGCCTCCTCCCCATCCCAAAGATTTGCACATGTGGTGAGGTATCTAAATTGTCCCAGGCCCTGGCTGGTATGGCTCAGTTGGTTGAGCTTTGTCCCACGCTGGTTTGATTCCCAGACAGGGCATGTGCAGGAGGCAGCCAATTGATGTTTCTCTCTCTCATCGATGTTCCCCTCTCTCTCTAAAATCAATAACAACATATTAAGTTGCCTCAGTCTGAGTGAGTGCAGGTGTGCATGAGTGTGCCCTGTGGTGGAACAATGTCCTGTCCAGGGCTGGCTCCTGCCTTGCACCCCGAGCAGCAGGGGTAGGCTCCAGCCCCCTCTCCACCTGAACTGGAGGAAGTGGGTTGGAAAACAATTATCTTCTTTGTTTTTATTCATCTTTATTAAATGTATGTATAGTTCACATTTACAGTGGGGCCTCGACTTACGAATTTAATTCGTTCCGTGGCAGAGCTCGTAATTCAAATTACTCGTATGTCAAATCAAAAAGTGAATGAGTGAGACACGTGATGCTGGGCTGATGTGGCGTTCACTGTGACGTTCGCTGCGCCAACTAGCGGTGAGGTATCTGAAGCTGGCTCATAACCAGAATTTTAGCTCACACCTCAAAGCAAAAAATCGGCCGAGAGACGGCTCGTATCTCGAAAAACTCGTTAGTAGGGACACTCGTAAGTCAAGGCCCCACTGTATCTTAATCTTTAACATGAAAAGTATTTGGAGTCTTTCTTTAGAAGTTTTGTGATATTTTTATTCATCTTTCTTAAATGTATGCATAGTTCACATTTATTTTAATCTTTTATATTAGAAGTATTTGGGGTCTTTATTTAGAAGTTTTGTGATGTTTTTGTAACCAGAAGTATGTCATAGGGACTTAACTCTTGTCTATATCAATGAGCCTATGGTAAAATAAAGTCGCAGTTTCCAAGAACCTATTTCTAACATTAAGTGAGGACTTACTGTGCTATGGGAATAAATAACCATAAAAGGAACAGAGTATAAAAATCTTGAAATGGCCAAAACCGGTTTGGCTTAATGGATAGAGCGTCGGCCTGCGGACTGAAAGGTCCCAGGTTCGATTCCAGTCAAGGGCATGTACCTGGGTTGTGGGCACATCCCCAGTAGGAGATGTGCAGGAGGCAGCTGATAGATGTTTCTCTCTCATCGATGTTTCTAACTCTCTATCTCTCTCCCTTCCTCTCTGTAAAAAATCAATAAAATATATATATATATAAAAAATCTTGAAATGGACCCAAATACATCTCAGAGCTTAGAGTATGGACAGATGCATTTCAAATTAGTTCTGAACAACAACGACAAAAAAGATAAACTATGTGTGAGAGTGTTGCTGGGATCCCTGGATAGCAATGTGGAAAAAATAGTGTCTACCTCATCCCTCAATATAATTCATATTGTTCAAATATGTACCGTATTTGCCGGCGTATAAGACGACTGGGCGAATAAGACGACCCCCTAACATTTCCACTCAAAATACAGAGTTTGTTATATACTCGCCGTATAAGACTACCCCCTCTTCCGCACACCTTCCACACACCAAATAAAAGATAAAACAATATCAGATTTGATTTTAACATTTTAATTTATATTCAAATGCTTATGACATGCAGGAAAACTGTCACAAGGCTGTATGTAATCAAACATATACATAAAACAGTGCAACTTTATTACCGGTAAACATACCGGTAATTCACTAAAGAAAACACACTCTATAGACTGGTACCGTAGATGCTTCTCAGGAACACAGGCAAGCAGCCCACAACCTAGAGGGACTGTCAATGATAGAAGTAAGATAACAAATAGGGAGAGAGCAAGTGCCGGGCAAGTCCCTAGCAAGTTTGCTGGCGTGACAGTTTCACCTTAAAAGCCTTCAAACTCCTCTTCATCATCTGATATTAAA